CCTGTACAAAAGAGACAGCCTCCACTTGTTCCAAGAAGAAACCAGGCAACTGGCACTTAAAATCAAAACGGTGGCAGAGCAGTTTTTAAACTAAATCCTGGGGGAAAGCCGATAGGAGATGAAATGTCTCTGGTTCAGGATGGCTCATCTCTAAGAGATGAAGGGGTAGTTGTTACTGTTCTAGAGGGAAGTGGATTAGGACTGGTCACTGAGAGGGTAACAAACAATATTGACTGCTTGACAAGGTCTAGCGGCCATAAAAGAAAGGTTGCAGGCCTAAATGTGTCTGGGGAATTATAGATGTTTATATGCAAATGCTAGAAGTGTCTGAGGTAATATGGGGAAGCTGGCAGGCTTAGTGTCAGAGGAGAACATAGACATTGTGGGCATTTCAGAAACTTTATGGGATGATGATAATCAGTGGGATACAGTGGTTCCTGAATATAAATTATATTGGAAGGATAGGGAGGGAAAGATACAAATAGGTAATTTTTAAAAGGTCTACATGGTTAACAAAGTAATGGAAGCAGTAAAAGGCGAGAAGGCTTCCTTTAAGTGGTGGAAGGCTAGTCTGAGTGAGGTAAATAAAAGGGAGCACAGGCTGTGGCAAATAAAATGCAAGTCTGTGACCAGGCAAAAAGGGACTATGAGGAACATATGGCAAGAAACATAAAGACCAACAATAAAAATTTCTTCAAAATCATTAGAAGCAGAAAACTATTCAGGGAGGCAGCGGGGCCCTTGGATGACCAAGGAGTGAAAGGATTACTAAAGGATGATGGGGAAGTGGCAGAGAAACTGAATGCATTTTTGCCTCTGTTTTCACTATGGAAGATGGGAGGTGCTTGTCCACTCCAGAACCGCCAATTTCAGGAGAGGTGTTGAAAGACCTGAGTCAGATTGAAATTACAAGAGAAGAGGTCCTACAACTGATGGACAAATTAAAAACTAAGAAATCACCAGGCCCAGATGGCATACATCCGAGAGTTCTGAAAGAACTCAAATGTGAACTTGTGAATCTCCTGACAAAAGTATGTAGTCTATCACTAAAATTTGCATCCATTCCCAAGGACTGGAAGGTAGCTAACGTAACTCCCATCTTTTAAAAAGGTTCCAAAGGAGATCTGGGAAATTACAGGCCGGTCAGTCTAACATCAATACCAGGTAAATTGGTGGAATCCATTAGTAAAGATAGAATTAGTAGGCACATTGATGAACAAAAGCTATTGAGGAAGAATCAACATAGATTCTGTAAGGGAAAATCTGGTCTCACTAACCATTTAGAGTTCTTTGAGTGGGTGAACGAACATGTGGACAAAGGTGACCCAGTAAATGTTCCAGGAAGCTTTTGAAAAAGTTCCTTATCAAAGGCTCCTAAGTAAACTCAGCAGTCATGAGATAAGAGGACAAGTCCTCTCGTGAATTAAAAACTGGTTAATTAACATGAAACAGAGAAGAAGAAGAAGAAGAAGAAGAAGAAGAAGAAGAAGAAGAAGAAGAAGAAGAAGAAATTGGATTTATACCCCGCCCTTTACTACCCAAGGGAGTCTCAGAGCGGCTTACAAACTCCCTTCCCCTCCCCACAACAGACACCTGGTGAGGTAGGTGGAGCTGAGAGAGCTCTGACAGAAACTGCTCTTTTTCAAGGACAGCTCTTATCAGAACTACGACTTGCCCAAGGTCATCCAGCCAGGTGCAAGTAGAGGACTGGGAAATCAAACCCGGTTCTCCCAGTCCGCATACTTAACCACTACATCAAACTGGAGTGAGTATAAATTGGTAGTTTTCATAGTGGAAGGTGATAAGCGGTGGGGTACCGCAAGGCTCAGTCCAAAGTCCGGTGCTTTTTTACTTGTTCATTAATGATTTTGAGTTGGGAGCAAGCAGTGAAGTGGCTAAGTTTGCGAATGACACTAAGTTGTTCAGGGTGGTGAGAACCGGAGAGGACTGTGAGATACTCTAGAGGGATCTGTCGAGTCTGGGAGAGTGGGCGTTACCATGGGAAATGAGGTTCAACATGGACAAAGTAATATACATTGGAGCCAAAAATCCTAACTATAAATATACATTGATGGGGTCCAAACTGGAAGTAACTGGCCAGGAGAGAGATCTTGGAGGCATGAAGATGTCAATTCAGCGTGCAACCGCAATAAAAAGGCAAATACTGTGCTGGGGATCATTAGGAGGGGGACAGAAAACAAATCAGCCAGTATCATAATGCCTCTCTATAAATCTATCTCTGTCTTTCTAGTACTGTTCATATAGTGATAGCCTTGAGAAAAAAATAAAATTATAAAATAAGATAATACCTTACTTAGTGTTATTCTTCTGTTGTTTAATTATTGCCCCTATAAATTTTGGCATCGAGAGAGTAACAAAATCATTTATATCCGATAGTAACCACGTCTCCTGTGCCCTCATACTGTCAGATGCATCAATGGGCCTTCCCTTATTTCTAAGTAACTAGCCCTCAGCTCATTAAATATAGGACATTCCATAATCATACGTTCAGTTGTTTCAATTTTATCATGTGAGCATCTACATGTTCTATTTGAATATCACACTTTTTAACATCTACCCTCCAAAACCACATTCATTCTTGCGGAAGTAAAAGCTCTTCTGAGCTTTGGTATTGTCAAATGATACAAATGTTTTGGCAGTTTCATTGGGAGGGGTATACCCAAATAAGATGCTGAACATACTCTATGAGCCCTGACAGATGTACTATTAGTATTGAGTTTCTTTTACACACATTTTAATTAGCCTTGTTATTTCTGTGGTCTCTGTAGACTTTAGCATATCATTTGTTATTTCTAAACATTTCATTTTTTTCCCCATTTATGATCCCCATGGCCAATATGCGCCTCTGCCTGTACAAGTCCAAGTAGAGTAGGCTTGCCCATGGATTTTAAGGTTTTAAGTTTCAAGAGGAATGCTTGTATCCATGCCTTAGCCTCCATTGACTGTTTACCAAGTTCAGCTCTCAATACTATGCTCGAAACAGATCTAGGAGTAGCCAGTAAGCATCGAGAGAAATCATACTGAATACAGTCCATTCTCTCAGAGACAGCGTCAGTCCAAATTTCTGAACCATATAAAAACTGGTTTGTGACATTAGCATTATATACTTTTAAAGCTGAGGGGACAAATTCACCTCCTGCTATATAAACATATTTTACAGTTGTCCTCCCAACTTTCAAGGCAGTCTCTGTATAAATCTGTGGTGCGGCCTCATTTGGAATACTGTGTACAGTTCTGGTCACTGTACCTCAAAAATGATATTATTGCATTGGCAGAGGTGCAGAAAAGGGCAACTAAAATGATTCAGGGGATGGAACACCTTCCCTGTGAAGAAAGGTGAAAAAGGTTAGGACTTTTTATCTTGGAGAAACCACGATTGACGGCTGACATGGTAGAGGTTTACAAAATTAGGCATGGGATAGAGAAGGTAGAGAAAGAAATACTTTTCTCCCTTTCTCACAGTACAAGAGGTTGTGGGTACTCAATGAAATTAATAAGTCATAGGCTTAGAACATATAAAACGAAGTACTTCACCCAAAGAGAAATTAACATGTGGAATTCACTGCCATAGGAAGTGATGGGGGCTATAAGCATAGACAGCTTCAAGAGGTGATTGGATAAACATATGGAGCAGAGGCCCATTAGTGACTATTAGCTACAACGTATAGATGAAACTCTAAACATTTCATAGTGGAAGGTGATAAGCGGTGGGGTACCGCAAGGCTCAGTTATATAAAAAATTCATGGTGAAACATGCTCCTCATAAATTTTAATAGACTTCTCCAGGAATTTACAATCAGCCCTTATGATTTCTATTTGATTATCTTTTAATAAGTGGCGATAGTCAATCCCATTTACCAGATTACAGGGAGGGAGAGAGAGATTACCAAACAGTTCCCTCCAGGGATCAGAATATAGCTGGCACTCCAGCAATATATGTTGGATGGAATCTGGAAAGTTTGCTCCACAAGGGCAGACTCTCTTACTATATGGAATTTGAAAGAATCTACCATAAACAACGTTTGAAGGAAAGGAATTTATCCTAGCCAAAATAAATGCTCTCCTTTGTTGGGGGTTTCAAGATCACATAAATAGTTGGCCATTTTCCCAATAGGTTGAGCATGGCCAAGTGAAACAGGCGATCAAAAATAATATTGAGCAGGACATAACTTAGTAAATTCTAAATCAAGGAGCCTCTGTTTAATTAGTCTAAAATTATAGGATTCATCAGCTAGGAAGAGGTCTTCCATTGTAATTCCTATGTATTTAAGGTTATCTATAATCCTTGGTACTTGTGGGGGCAACAGTGGGAGGGCTTCTGGAATTCTGGCTGCGCTGGTGGACCTCCTAATTTCACCTGGGTTTTGGGCACTGTCTTGGACTGGATGGGCCATTGGCCTGAATCAACACGGCTTCTCTTATGCTCTTAAGATGCACTGAGCATTCAGCAGCTTTCTCTTGGCTAAGACCCTCCCTCCTACCCCATGCAGTGCCCTTTTCAAAAGTATGCACATCACCAGTGGTTAATAGTTAAGTTTATTTTGCATCAGTGTTGCCTTTAATCCTGGCCTTTGCTCTGCAGTGTGTTGAGTTTAAGGACTTCTGTGTACAGTTCATCTTATATTTTCATTCAAAGCAGTATAAATCTTTTCAGTGTCATTTCAAGATTTTACAACATAGAATAGTAGCCATACTAGAAGCAAATGAAATGAAAATATAATCTAGAACAATTTATTTAATATGATTGTACAACCCAGACAGTGTTATGCCAGCAGACTGATATAAGAATATTTTTAGATTAAAACAGTTGTTTAAATATTTAGAATTTAAGGAGTGGGGAAGTAAAATGCAGTACATTCTTAAACTGCTGGTCAGCTATTTTTCAGTATCATATTTCAAATAGAAATTGCTTTTTTATCTTAATTCTTGACTGCTTCCATTTTATTGCAAATAATACATATATATTTTTTAATTTACAGCAAATCTTGCTGGCAGACCACAGGTATGATTTGTATTAGTATATATATTTATGTATTTTAAGCTTTGCCTCCACAATGCAATCAAAATCTACATGGAATTTTGTAATGAAGTATAACTTTTCAGTATAGAAGTAAATGCATTTGGGATTCATTCTTCATCATAAAATACAATACAGAACTAATGAGCTTGTATAATGCTTTCTAGGACTAGTCAGAGCACAAACTAAATGAGATGATGGGTGTGGCAGGCCTGGCAATTTATTGGATCTCAAAGGGGTGTGTGTCTTTTGTTTTTAAGCTTAAAGCTGCTGTGAAGGGCTCCAAAAGGATGATGGCTACTGTGCAGGAGGTTAAATGTTTCTCTCACACAGGGAAACATATAGCTTTAGCAAGTATGTCTGTGTTTTTCTCCATGAGACATCTAGCAGATCAGGAGGAGGAATTTAAATAAGATAACAGGGAAAAGCTTCATGACCTCTATCCACATTGCTCCTCCCCTGCATGGTTGCTATGCATTTAAAAGAAAAACACTTTGCATAATTCACATGCAGAACTAGGGCTGCCAAATCCCCCCGGGGAACTAAATGAGATGGTGGGTGTGGCAGGCCTGACAATTCATTGGATCTCAAAGGGGTGTGTGTCTTTTGTTTTTAAGCTTAAAGCTGCTGTGAAGGGCTCCAAAAGGATGATGGCTACTGTGCAGGAGGTTAAATGTTTCCCCTACACAGGGAAACATATAGCTTTAGCAAGTATGTCTGTGTTTTTCTCCAGGGGACATCTAGCAGATCAGGAGGAGGAATTTAAATTGACAGAAAAGATAACAGGGAAAAGCTTCATGACCTTGATCCACATTGCTCCTCCCCTGCATGGTCGCTATGCCTTTAAAAGAAAAACACCTTGCATAATTCACATGCAGAACATAGATGCATGGGGCTGTACCATGTGAAAGGTATCAAATATTGTGTTATAATTTGAAAAACTAGTGTCAGGGTTGATTTACTAATTAATAATGTATCCATTTCATGTTTTAACTATGGAACCCTGATTGTGTAGCATATTAAAGGAAATATCTGGAAAGTCCTGGGTGATTTAGTCTCAGATAACCTCTACAATAAACACTTGCAAGCGTAATTGCAGTATTGCCACCAAGACAGTGTCCTCTTGGCCAGCAGTGCCATGTGGTTTACTCCCCTCACTTTGTTTATTTCCATGCCCCTGTTGGAATATGAAGACTCTCAGTGTGACGCCAGTTTGTTAAAGCCAGCCAGGGGTCACCCATGGGGACCTGTTTCATTTTAGTCTTTCATGAAGTGCAGTATGTGCACAATAATCCAGTGATATACTTTAGTTCGGTTCGAAGTAACATCAACTCATGTCCTGGTGTTACAAGAATGAGTGTTGCATTTACAGCTTTTCTTGTCTCCTCATGTGCTTAGATTTAATTAGTAACTTTCACTTTAACATACAGAATAAGTTATTGTTATACCTCCACTGGCAAACCATGGTTTTGTTTTTGCCATACCTATCAATATTGTAAAATAGTTTCAAACCATGGAAGGGGCATGGCTTGGTGGAAGAGTATCCGTTTGGCATGCAGAAGGTCCCAGGTTCAGTCCCTGGCTTCTCCAGTGAAGTATAAGGTAATGTGAAAGACCACCACCTGAAACCATGGAGAGCCACTGCCGGGCTAAATAGACAATAGTGACCTTGATGGACCAATGATCTAAGGCAATTTCATGTGTTCAGCCATGGTTTACAGTCATAGCTTGAAGGACAACCTCAACCCATAGAGATCTAATTGAACAAGAGTAGCAGAGTGAGGAGGAAGCACAGGTTTTGTGGGCACACTGCCAAACCATTCTTTTTAGTTGATTCTAAAGTACACCAATCCCTTGTTGTTTAAACTATAAGTACTTGCGTACATAGTTGCACAATGCAGGGAGTCAATGAGAAATTTTACAAACACAAAGGACAGCGTGGTATAGAGAAAATGCCTAACTGTGGTTAAAATGGTTAACAAACCTTAGGTGGTTTGTTACCTTAAGCTTGGATCAGTTATTCTAGTGGAACTGGGACTTAGTTTATCAAGCTAAGAACACAGCAGTATGACCAGCTTAGGAAGGAGTGGCTGGAGATCCAAGGAAGTTGTTGTAACCTTGTAATCCTATATCTATAAAAGCCCAACGAATTGGCACTTTCCAGCTCTCCCATTGACTGTGGCGCACTCCATCAGCCATTGTCCAGGTGTTGGGTCCGCTCCTCTCCCCCACCCACTGGCAGCTTGGCTGCTTCCCTGTCAGAATAAACTGCCAAAATGGCTGTCTCTCCTGATGAAGATGCTTCTACTGCTTGGCTTCTCCATGGCTGGCTGGCTACTGAGATGGGCCAGCAGCTGTCAAACCATTCTCTTCTCTTTCTGTTGTGCGACTCACTTTTCCCTCAGAGGCTGTTGCTAGGTAACCAAGTCCCTTGGTTCTGTCAGTAAAAAGGTGAGGGGAGGAGGCCTACTTCGGCCTTTGTGTGGACCTCATTGAGACTAGTCCTGACTAGGGTTGCTAGCTCCAGGTTGGGAAATTCCTGGAGATTTTGTAGTGGAGTCTACAGAAACCAGACTTTGGGGAGGGGAGAGGCCTCAGCTGAATAGAATGTCATAGATTCCACCCTCTAAAGCAGTTCTTTTCTCCAGGGGGAGGGAGAGGTCGGTTCTCTGGAGTTCAGTTGTGATACCAGGCAATACCATAGCCAGTGTTACATAGCAGTTAGCACTTCAGAGTAGAGTCTACCAGACCCAGGTTATTGCTGTGGAAGCTGAGTAGGTGATTTCGGACCAGCCACAGACTTTCAGCCTAACCTACCTCACAGGGTTGTTGTGCAGATCAAAAGGGGGAGAGGAGAATGATGTGAGCTGCTTTGGTCCCCACTGCAGAGAAAGACTACTTTTCCTCCTGGGGAGCCATTTTTTCCAATCTCCAGGTGAAGGCTGGAGATCACTCAGAATTACAACTGTTCTTCAGGTGGCAGAGATCAGTTCCCCTGGAAAAAATGTTGGACTCTGTGACATTATACCCTGCTGAGGTTGCCACAGGAAATTGACACTGAGTGCCCAAGAGCCTCTTTCTAGAGCTCATTGTATTAATTTTCACAGCGGGCCTTATTCCTAGTGTTATATAAATCATCCTGGTTTTGTGACCAATCCTTAGCGCTATGTCTTTGTTATTCTAATGTAACATTTTACCATGGTAAAACCTTTGCCTAGGCAAGGTCCAGTGTGTTTGTGTGTGTGTATGTGTGTGTGTGAAGTGCCATCAAGTCACAGCTGACTTATGGTGACCCAAGCAAGGGGCTTTCAAGGCAAGTGAGAAGCACAGGTGGTTTGTCATTGCCTTCCTCTGCAGAACCTTCCCCTGTGGTCTCCCATCCAAGTACTGACCCTGCCTAGCGTCTGAGATCTGATGAGCCTGGGCAATACCATGCTGCCTTCTGGTATACATAAGCTTCTTTAAAATGTGCTATAACACTTTTTGCCATTTATTTACTATAGTCAAACATGAGACCCTTCTGGAATTAGGCTCCAGATATTTGTGTTGGGTGATAACACATCTAAGGACATCTGTGGATAGTAATACTCTTAAATTTTTCTCTTAAATTCAGGCAATGTGAAGTTTTCAGTCTGACGACAGTTCGTTCTTCCTGATGTCAAATACAGCCCTTTTTCTACAAATGCCAACGTAAAGTTCCAGTAATCAGATGGCTGCATGGGACCTTGTAATATACTGTTTAACTCTGTGTGTTTTTACTTCAAATAGGAAAACACTTGAATTACCCAAAGACAAGGATGTTGTGGTTTTTTAAAAATATATGTGTGCGTTTCCCCCTTCCTTCCCTCTATGCAACTGTAAATTAACAAACAGTAGAGTATTTGGAAATGGTTATACATATGTCATTGATTTATATAATATACAGTATCAGGAATGGGGGTGTGGGTTTATATCCATTCTTTTTGATATTGCTGCAGTGAATTGCATACACAGTTTGGAGCAAAGCATTACATTAATACATTCCCTTCAGCTTTTTGTGTTTGCAATTTGGAGTACCTTCTGTGCTGACACACATACTGCTCTGCACTGGTTTATTTATATTTGTCTAATAGTATTCATTTCAAACTGTGAACAAATATCAATTTCTCATAATCATACTATTAGTATTTGACAAAAGTCATTTATGACCATCTAGGAGTACACGCTCCAGCTAACAAGACATTCAGCTACAATAACCATTAAAACTAAAATGGTGTGCTAGTGAATTCTTTTCCCTACTGAATGCAGAAGGATATCCCCATCACCACCGGCTTTTCTTTGGCTTGTAATGTGAGTTAAGGTTCATTTGGATTTTATTTAATACAACCATTCAGAATCTATGTAATGTTGGTTATCTACACAGCAAAGACAATGGTCTAATTTTGTGCCAAATTCTGTCAAGGCTTTTTGTTAAATCATCAAATGCAAAGGACCTAATTTGCAATTATTTGATTCTGCTTTTAGAAATGTATATAACTTGAGGAGCTTAGTCTGCTGTAATGCAAAAAATGTGTTTTCCTTACATCGCAAAGGTTGCCTGGAAAATTTCAGCCAGCATCTTCTGTGCATTTTCAAATGGCTTTCTTAACATATATGTTTAAAAGCAGGGAAATTGCAGAGAAGATTAGCCGCAGCCTATGACAAGATACCGGGCACTTTTCCTTCACCATTGAGTTTGTAGTTTTGTGTGGGCAAATGCTGTCATTATAAAACTCATTTGCTCAATAAGTTGCACTTGTGCAATATGTGTCTTTTAAGTATCTAAGTAGTACTAGGGAGATTCCACTCTGATTCTATTAACATTTATGCCCAAATGGGAAGTGGAGAGATTTTAGACCAGTTGTTTTCTGCAAGGAAATGCCGAGTGGAGTATCCCATATCGATAATGAAATCAAAACGGGAACTGTCGTCCTGGTGTGATGCTTACAGCTCCTGATGCTGATGTCACCACTCAGTCTTCTCATCTCTGGAGTGGAGCTAGTAAACGTTATGAGACTCAAATTACGTAATGTATCTTTAATGCTCTGATGGTTCAAAGTGCTATATAAATGATAAGTATTATTTTTTTGCAGGGGAGGGAGTTTTGCCAAAAAGCGGGGAGAAATAGGAGGTTAATATGTGGATTTTTCATCTAGAAAGAAATATATTTTGGTATAGATATTTTGAGAAGGATGAAAAGTTTTGCAGAAAAGGAAAGCCATGACCACCTTTCTACCTCAGACACTTTTCTTTTTCTTTTTATATTTAGTATTGGAAACAGGTCAATGTTTTTTGCCAGGTGTCTTCCTTTACCAGATTACATTGAAGCAAAAAGCAAAACAAGAACCAATCCCTTTTAAAAAAATACTTAACAGCAAAGATCTCAGTAATGGATTTGGTGGCTTTTTTATAATGACTGAAAGGTTATGTATGAATTGTTTTCTGCCTGTGTTTGTATGCAAATTCTGTCCTCTTCTCTGCTGTCATGTAAAAACTACTTAAACATTACCTTGTAACATTCTCCCTCTGAGACACTGATAAATAAAAGGAATATGTTGCAGTAACATCTCAAAAAAAGTTGTAGGTTGTCTTTTTTTTAATGTTGTGGTATTAAACTATCACATCTCCCTTTTCTAATCTAGTTACATGGTCTGACTTTCACACTGAATAAAATTAACTTCTAAGTGAAGACTGTTTTGATGTTCTTCATCTTAGAAGTAAACAACATTTAAAAGCTTGTTCCCTGTGTAGGAACATTTCAGGCTTCAAGGTGCCTTTATGAAAATAAAATATGTAGCAGAAAAATGCAGCTCAGTAAATCAGTGCATATTTTTGTGCCATTTTCTGTCTTCACCAATCCACACTGCCAGCAGTCAATCTTGGCTGGTGGCAGATTTTAAATGCAAGTCACCAGTTGGTGAACTTGGTTTAAAGTATGCTATTAATATTGAAAATATGAATATATGAAACCCTTGTTCAGTCGCAGAGCTGAAACATGATCTCTGAATTCCACTAGCTTGTGCTCAGCAGCCTTCATTTCTAACACACTGTTATTTATTCTGGCAGAAAATACAATTTATAGCCAGTATGATTTTTTAAAAACAAACAAACAAAAACCTTAACATTAAATACACTAAATTTTGCCTTAATCAGTTCTTAGAAGTATATATGATGGCGCCGTCCCCTCCCTCAGAGGCAAGATTTTATGTTTGTTTTTCTTTCCCTTTACTGACTGAGCTGCCCTAGTAACTTCTTTGCTGTCCTACCCTGTCACAGTACAATATTTTGGCTGTTGGCTCAGCCCAGGAACCTGAGGGAAGGATCAGGAGCCCACTTAAATGGCACTTTTCTGAAATTCAAAAATAACAAAACATTTTATTTAACATAGAGGGGAAAGGTCAGGTGAAATCAGGGGTTGAAATAACTGAGGCAAAACCAATACATGCACAGACTTTAGTTCTTATGTTTCAGGCTAATGAGAGTTTCTTAAGCTTTTCACTGTAGACTTTGGTAGGGTTCAGTAACGACACAACACACAGAGATTTGTACAAGCTCTCTGACCAAGCTCAGTTCTCTCTCTGTCCCAACTGTCCTCTGTTTTATGAACTGCCTGTCAGCAGCGTTTTATTAGAATCAAGCAGGCTCACACATAGTACAGTGAAAACATTACAAAATTGAAGAAGCCTCTAACTAAATCACAGTGTGTTTCACAGAATGTTCTTTCTCATAGCTCATTATTATCTTGCCCAAAAGTTGCAGAGTTTGTGCTCTCTGTAATTCATCAGACTCATGCAAACTCAGAAGACCTTGAGGATTTGCAAATCTCCCGGTGAGAACTTGAGATCTCCTGGGTTTGCCTCACGGGAGTCTCTAATCCCCACATTTCACAGTGACATAAATCTTTATGTTGAGAGGCTTTTATTCCAGTGTTTTCCCCAAATACTTCAGTGCACTTTCCCTGAATATTCTCTGACTCTTGGTTTCCAGAAGACTGGTGCACTTTTTAAAGTACCCAAACTCCTTCCCTTGAAACCCCAGTACTCGTCTTGAGTTTTTAACTGACTCTTAAGGTCTCCAAAGGCAGTTTCTAACCACATCAGACCAGGGATCTCTGTACTCTTCAGAGCTAACCCCATGTTTGACTAGTTAGGGAAAATCTCCTCTCACTAGAAGATCTATTCCTTTTCTTTGCCCCAAATGGGAGTCTTTACCTACTTCCCAAACTTTATTGCCAACTTTCCTCCAGTACTCCGCCTGTGTTAAACTGCTCTTAAAGGTTTCCCTTGCTCGAAAGCTAGTCAAATCCAACCCTAGGGGGTGGTGCTCCTTTCCGTTTCCAAGCTGAAGAGCCAGCACTGTCCAAAGATGTTTCTGCAGTCATGTGACTGGCATGACTAAATGCTGAGGCTCACGGAACACTGTTACCCTCCCACCGAAGCAGTACCTATTTATCTACTTGCAATTTCTTGCTTTCAAACTGCTAGATTGGCAGGAGCTGGGGCCAGAGACGGGAGGGCACTCTGTCACGCGGCACTAGGGTCTCGAACTGCTTCTGGTCTGCAGCTCAGCATCTTAACATCTGAGCCACTGTGGCAAGCCTAAAATTAGGCTCCACTCAGTCAAGGCAGAAATCTGACTGAATTTCTCCTCAGCATGTCACTCTCAAATTTATCTCTGCTTAGTTTATGCTAACCAATCAGATTGCTTGGAGCAGCCAGTCACTCAAGGCTCTCTGTTTCTCTGAAGAATTAACCCTTCACAGTCCTTTAGTTGATTGTACAGCGCTTTTAAGCTTCTTAAAAGTGCAGTCTATCACAGCTGCCTACTTCCGTAATTACAAAACTTGCAAGATGTGGCTTTTCGAATTATGGAAGTAGTCACAATCTGCCATGCTTCCACCACATCAGAGGTGGATTAACACAAGGAAAAATAGGAGGCGATATACTAAAGAGTCCTGAATGAATTGGCTCGTAAATATAGTCGTATATTATCCCTTCAAAGGCTTTTATTTATTTTTATTCTAAAAAATCCTTTTAAAAGGCCATCTCAGATAAAACAACTGTAGTAATTCATGTCATTAAAAATTCTCAAATGCCCTCTTAAACTGCTGTTTTACAGCCTCAGCTGAAAACCACTGAAGTGGGGGGCTTCCTCACACTCTCAGGAGCATTGTTCCATCTAAGCTTAGTGTGACCTAGCTCACAGTTTTTTAGCCTCTGGCTCACACATTTTTGTCTTAACTCGGGAAGGATGGCTCCAGAGCAAACTAATTTATGCAGTAGCCAGATTGCCAGTAGCTCACAAAGTAGAATTTTTGTTCACAAGACTCCACAGTTTAGAGGGAGCATTGCTCAGGAGGTTGTTCTGCATTACTGGGGTTGCTGTACAGAAAACCCAAGAGAGAGTTCCAGCTGTACAGACCTTAGGGAGCTATGGTTCTTAAGTATGTGGGTTCTGGTTGCAAGACTTTATTAAAGGTATGTGCCATCATCTTAAAGTGTACTAGGAAACAAATTGGGGACCAGTCTAACATTTCAAAAATGGAAGTAATATGTGTGACAGACTGTTAAGGGTTAATGCCTAATAGAGTCTGAGAACCCTTGAGTGACAGGCTGTTCCAACGGAATTCTGTTGAGAAATTCAGTTAAGGAAAGACCGTTGGGAAGTGACGGTTGTTGAAGAGACAGTTAAGAACTGACTGTGGACTGGGAAGGAGGAGTGGATCAAGGAAGATCCTAATTCAAGACAAAAAAAGGGAAATAGTTTCTAGTAAAGAGAAGTGATCCCTGGTTTGTATAAAGAAGGATTTTGGGAGCTTGGTTGTATGTTCCTGCCTTCTAAATTTTACGTGTTGGTGAAACTCAGAAACTTATGCTTGAGTGTTTAAGGAGGAAACTGAATAGAAAGCCTTTCTCCTCAAAGTTTTAAAGACCTTATTACATAGCAGAAACACTTACTTGTTGGCAATCAATTATCTGGTGTTTGTGTGAATACAAAGTTACTTCAGTTTTATTATCAGTTCACTTCGTATATCCTACATCTGATTCCACCGGACCTTTTCTCCTACAATTAAATATTTTAAACTTTCAAAAGCCTCTTGTGTGCCATTTCAAAAGCAGAACATAAGAAGGTGATTTTGTCTCTTCCTTCAGTTCCCTAGGCTGGGCCAGCATCAACTGGGTGGGACAGCTATAGACAAATAAGAAGAAAATAGATAAAGTGGCCGCTCAGTGAAAAAGAAGGGAAAATCCTGTGAATGAAAAAAATTATTTACTTCAATAATAAAAGAACTGGTGCATTTTGAATTAATGGTAATTTCTAGGTTGCAGCCCTATGTAGAGGATATTGCAATAGTTAAGCCTTGAATTTCAGTCATTTCTGTCTCAGCTATTCCCTTGTTACGGGATGGCAACTTCCCAAAGCTGAGTTAATTGTCTGTTGTGTTTCATGATTAAAATTCAGTTATGTGAAGTGGTCAGCTCTTGCCTGTTCTGCTCAACTCACTTCCTTTTGTCCTTCAAATGCCCTCTGGAACAATTCTCAAACATGGATTTACCAGACCACCTGGAGTTTTGCAGGACATGTGAGCTGGTTACAGGCCAAATGGATAGAGACTTAGGCCAACAAAATGGAGTATTCCCCTACTCAGCTCACCTTCTTTTGCCTACAAAAGCCCTCTGGAATAATTCTCAGAGAAGGATTTGCCAGGCCAAATTTGCAGGGCCGGTGGGCTGGGGTAGACACTTGGACCAACAAAGTGGAGGCAGAATAGTCATGGAAACATGCTTGAAGAAAAAATTCCAGAAATGTAAACTAAAGCTAGGTGAGCTATTGTTTGCTACTCATAAGTAGTAACTGAAGAATGCTGTTAAGAATGATTAATACCATCAGATGGATGGACATTTGTTTAGCATTCAGCTAAAGCACAGACTGGAATGTCCTTTGAAAGGAAACTTTATGACCAGAAAATGTGGAAGCGAGACATTAAAAAAATGTTTCACCATTATCCTGTTAGACATTTCTAGCTTGTCCAACAGTGATCCAGCTTTGCTTAGTAATATGATGCCCATCTGAACTAGGATATCTTTCTAGTCCTTTCTAGGCAATAAAGACAACACACCAAGGGATTCTGGCAACAGAGAAGACAAAGCACCTGTTCTGCCTTCAGTCCTAACTCTCTTTGACAAATTTCACAACTGGTGTGTCTCCAGCAATACCAAGAAGTGATCAATCTTGCAGCTGGTGTGTTCTCAATAATGCAATAAGATGCGATGCCATTTCTTGCTTATATTTTTAACCAAAAAAGCACACACTTTCAGTAGGAAAAAACTAGGATACTTCTGTGAGTCTTCCAACAACTGATTTTGAAGCTATTGCAAACAAGTGCTTCCTTTCCCCTGCCTAGTCCCCTTTGAGGCTAAGAACAGCAATTACACGGTATTTATTTACAGCCTTTTTATGCTGCCTTTCCATTCAATGCCTTTCCATTCAATTTCCATTCACCACCACAATGTGGTGAACATAAAGACATTAAAACATTTAAACAATTAAAAATGCTAAGA